AATTTTTTTTTTTTTTTTTTTTTTAACGACGTCTTCGAATAAGATTCATAATCAATGACTTTGGTATTCATATACACATTGTAATAAGTGTATATGTTAAGTAAAGCATGTGATTGTTCACTCCCGATGCAAACAGTCTAGTGGAAAAGGATATACCAGGAGGAAAAGAATGAACAGGAAAACGACGTATAAAGGCATGGGTTGTGACGAACAATTGATCAGTAACATCGTATGGAATGTGAACAGTCTATCACAGCGACTGTTTGCGTAATGAAAGACCGTCCACATGATTATTACAGAGTAAATTTCATATCAGCATTATATTGCAGCTTGTCTATGTACGATCTTATTTACACACACACATATATATATAAACTTTTCATGAAATGGTCTTTACTAACGATGACGCAACAAGAGAATGTACCAAATTCCTGAATATATTATATTTTGTGCATGTACCATATTTTACACTGCATCTTCCAAATTTCCCCTGTAAATTATCCCTATTCACGTCACTATGCCTAAAGCTATAATTGTTAGTGTTGGTTACGACGAAAGGTAACATATTTATATAAGTGTTTGTAATATGTATTTCATATGTTGTGTGAATAAAGTAAAGTTAAAACTAAAGGGTTTTACGTCCTTTCAATAGCTAAGGTCATTTAACAACGTGCATGTGCGTTTGTGTGCAGGAGGCAGGGTATGTTCGTATAATTGCCTGCTTGTGATAGCGCGAATCTGATGCCGACCTTACAGTGCTATCTCACTGAAATACCATGCCGAAGACACCAAGCACAGCGTTCTGCCAGGTCATATTATACGGACAACGGGTGAATACATGTAGGTACATATATTGGACCAATAACGTTTATCTTTTATACAATGACCATTTGATGGCTGAGTAGCTATAAGTCCTCTAACAAGGGCCACCTGGTTGACGCCTATGGAAGGGGATCACCGCCATAATTATTTTTTTATAGAATTAGTTACTTCTGGTTTTGAATCTAATTCTATGTTCATTTGTATTAATTCTATGTTCATTTGTATTAATTCCCTAGTTGATAAGTGTCTTTTTCCATGCTATGTACATTTGTGTTGTTGCACTCGTTTACAAATCTATTGCGTGTTCATTCCATGCTATGCTAGTTTTCATTCCATGCAATGCTAGTTTTACCGATCGCGATCCATTCCAGACATTCTATCGGTTGATCTGAAGCTTTCGTCATTTTTGTAAAACAGAAATTCGAAACAAATTTTGAATTCAGAAATAGCTAACTAGTCAACTAGTAAACGAGTAAGCCAGCAGTTGAAATACGTTAGGTTTCCTCATTATGACGACGAGCTGCGCTGCGATCGTCTTAAATATACACGGACCGCTCCCCAACCGCATCCGGATCACCGTACGGACGCAATGTCGTTATTTGTTTACGTTTTGACTATTGTATTTTTAAGGTTCTTATATTCATTACTGCATAAATTAAATATATGTTCAAGAACATATTAATGACGCCGTCAATATTGATGTAGACTCGGACAGTGCGAGAAACATTTTAAGGGCCTGCACTAGAAGAACAATTAGACTTGCTCAAGTCCAGAAAATAATCACATAAACTAAATGCGAGTCTAATATTGACAGAGCGTAGAGCTTTTCTTCCCCACTCCAATACACACATTTAAAACAAAAGTGAAAAAAATAATAAGCAAAAGTATGTAGGTTAAACGTTGCAGTAACTTAATTAACAATCTCTTACCCCCTATGACAATCTCACCCCACCACCACCCCAATTACAATTAATTCTTTATCACCTGTACTGTGCATGTCATATTCTTATATACATTTTAGCTGAAGTTTGGAGAAGAGTTTTAAGTGGCTTTTGAGGCAAGATTACCATAGGTCAAAGATAGAAGAATATGAACCAACTTCCTCCACCTAACAAGTTATTTTTAGAGTCAATCAGAGTAAACCATTATCTGTTTTTGTCCATACCAATGAAACAGGAGTTTTTGATAAGAATGTTAAATTGAAACAANATAAATGTTACTTGTGAGCAGAGACGTATACGTTTCTGTTGTGAGGCAAACATACAAAAATGAAGATAAACAATGATTTAATTTCATAAAAAAATATCAATATGCATAAAAGTTAACAAAACAATCGCTACGACAAAGTTATCAACAAGTATGCTGTCATTACATATATCTACATACATGTACATATATTTGATGGAACAATTTGAAAAAAATATTTTTTAAACAAAGCAATGCAAAGGAATACTGAATAAAATATAATCATCATGAAATATCATGACTCAAGACCAGTTTTTAAGAAACTGATGCCTGTTTTGGACACCTGTGACCTTGAAAGAAGGTCAAGGTAATCTACATGATGAAACTTTAAAGTATTTATCCCAAGTACTTGCTGACCAAATATAAGGGCCCTGTGATTTTCAATTTAAAAAAGTAATTTAAAGAAAAAGTTGACAGACAGACTTATGACAGACACTTCACTATACCATAAGATTATGACAGTTTGTACCAGAGGAGCTTAAAAGTGTATCTGTGTATATCCATGATATTTGTCTTTCCTTCATTCTGACTGTATGGCCAAATCAGAAAAATCACAACAATTATCAATCACTAGCCACGGTATACATGTCATTGGTCAATGCTCTTTTTAATTAATGTCCAACAATATGGTATTTTCATCGTCATATATGCAGCAATGTCTTGTTTTCTCCATTCAAAGGCTTAGGAATCCCAGAAAGACAAAGCTCTTGCAGTGTCTTACATGACACTGCATCCTGATGGTAGGTCTGGATTTGCCAAGAAAAGTTGGACATTCTGGAGAAAAAATAAAAATAAAATATTGTCATGAATCAGACATAGACACTGTAGATATGATAGTTGTAACTGTATGATATGCTTTTGTGGGAGAATAGCAATATATACTCTGCGAGGTCACCCATTCAATTTTTGAAATTTGACTAAAAGTTGGTTCATACTAAACCTACAATAAAACATAATATACCTTGAATACATCAGCATCATTTCATAGAAGAAACATATATTTTAAGTATATATACAGATCCCACTATGGAACTTCGAAACTGTGTTTATGATAATAGGACTAATTTATTATAATAACACCTCATTTTGAATATACTTAAGCTAACCACCTGTTTCAGGACTGCCAGTCACTGGTAGTGAATTACAAAGCAAGTTTCCATCTCATGGTTTGCATGTCTTTAGAAAGCTTCTGTTATTGTGTCTCGAGGATGTCGCTGAATAAAGAGGACAATTCAAATAACAAGTTAAAACTATGACGGGTTATCCATATAAATCTTGACATTCCATTTAGGTAACTAAACAAAATATTAAATTCTTTTATTGATCAGCATGAAGTTTAATTGTAGTGTGTTTAATATGTCTTTGTATTAAATGTCACCTAAGTGACAGGCATCTGGTTTCAAAAGCATATCCGATGGTCAGTTTACTGGAAGTAGTAAACTGATTGCATAATTATGAAGTCTATAATTTTCTGGTGCTTAATTACTGAATCAATAGACAGAGTTGTTGACTATACATTAGGTTTCCTGCTTCAGTATTTTACATAATTAACTATAACATCAATCATATAATAAATATTGAGCCAAACAAGAAATGTTGTTTGTTTCCAGTTACTCTCCCTAATGATTTGTGCCTCCTCTATTTTTTGTAAAATTTCAAGGAAGCACTCTTAAAGTCAGGATCACTTCCTACATAAGCGTTGTGAAAAAAAGAAAAAAACCCATTAACTACATGTACCCAACCCTAATTCCTATTTTTGTCCAGACATGTAACTTTTTTGTTAAGCCTTTAACAAAATAAATAGCTCAGACTTACATTCTACATTTGACACTTGAGTTCAGTAATGGACAGATCAAATTATGGAATTTGTACCTGTAATCAATAATTGAAAAGGCAAGCTGATCAATTTTGAAATATATTATCAAGTATTGGCCCATCACTAGTTACCATTAGATGTAAAAAAAATAAAGAGACAAACAAGAGGCCTAGAGGGCCTGAATCCCTCAACTGGATATTTAAACATCACGGGAATATATTCTGATTAAATACATCATGTACTGCAACTATAGGCTCTGTCTCTCAGCATATTGAAAGAGAATAATTTAAACACTTATCAATATCTCCCCCCTATTGGACCCCGCTCCTCTGCCCCCAGGAGGGTCAGACCCTCTGTTTATACAAAATTGGGTCCCCTTTGACCAAGGATACTCTAACTCCAGGCCAAATGTAGTTAAAACCCACTGAGCTGTTCGACTTCAGGACAAGTGGACACCAAGGATGAAGCTTACCAAGTTTAAAAAGATTCATTCCCCGGCTCTTCAGAAAATATCTAAAAGTTTACAGACGGGTGGTGACCTAAAAATAATTTACATGTACCAGCATATAAACAGTTTCAAACATTGTGAAACATGATACATTTTTATATGCACTACCTCCATTGTTCAGGAAATGCCTCTTCACTGTAGGAGTTGTTCAGGTATCAAGGAAGTAGATGGTCTGCTGTCAAAAACCAGTGATCAGGTTGGCAAACTGGCACTTCATAACACTTCATGCTGACCGAACCAGACCTACAACAATTAGGTCATTGAGATTTCAGTAATAGTTGCTAAATGTTGTACATAATGCACATGAAAAAAAATGATAACAACTTAAAACAAGTATTTCAAATTAACTTAAATCAAAGATATGTTTGATAATTGGTCAACAATATTGACATCCAATATCACTCAATAACCACTGTTCCCATGAACTATAGCTATAGATTTATCATCTCCTATATGAGACAAGTTTTAATATGACATCTGCAACAGGCCAGGGTTATGCACATTTTCCTCGAATGAGGCATACTTGATTGAATCTGATGTCATCATCTAATAACAGTAGAAAATTTAAATCTTGATTTTTATGCTAATTTCAGGCGGTTAGTTTTAATTAGCTGATCACTGTATGCTGTTCTGAATATGAAATTTGCATCCACTTCTCAAATTTATCAAAATTAATTATGAAGCATGAACAGGAAAAAAATGCACATATGGTTCCGAGGTATTTGAAATCCTTACTGTAAATATTGAGATAAAAATCATATAAAACATAAGGGTATTGCTACTTTTTTGGTAGTAGACTAATTTAATACTTTTTATCTCAATTTACAGTCAGAATTTCAAACACTTGTGATTGGATACTTGATATCAAAGTTTTACTTTCTACACAACGTATTAAACGTGTCGCAACCTTCCAAGACCGACTTAACCCTTTGTCAAGCTATGACAGTTCTGTATTTCAGTCATGCATTTGTAACGAACCCCTGTGTGCAGGGTTAACATTTTGCCAGTTACCAAATACTTGTGGGATTTCGTTATGGCTACGGCATCCTAACTTTAAATATGACGATTTTCTGCTACGATACAAACAATTTTGGCTCAAACCTAAATAGATTGCAGTTCAATTGCTGTCATAACCAAGACTTACCGCACTGTCGACTGCATTTTCCAAAATCTACTGCCACAATCGGGTATGTTTCCGGTTTAAGGGAGCGAGCATTATTTTCCGCGAATTTCGTTGGCGCTTTAAGCGCCGGCTGTTGTCTTCATGAGAACTAAAATTCTAGAATTCATTCTAGAATTCATTCTAGAATTTTAGTTCCTCATTAAGACAATAAGCGGCGCTCCAGTCATAAACGATGTCGAAATCGCGATCGGTAAAACTAGCATAGCATGGAATGAACACGCAATAGATTTGTAAACGAGTGAAACAATACAAATGAACATAGAAATAATACAAATGAACATAGAATTAGATTCAAAACCAGAAGTAACTAATTCTATAACTTATCAACTAGGGAAATAATACAAATGTACATAGAATTAGATTCCAAACCAGAAGTAACTAATTCTATAACTTATCAACTAGGGAAATAATACAAATGTACATAGAATTAGATTCCAAACCAGAAGTAACTAATTCTATAACTTATCAACTAGGGAAATAATACAAATGTACATAGGATTAGATTCCAAACCAGAAGTAACTAATTCTATAAAAAAATAATTATGGCGGTGATCCCCTTCCATAGACGCCTACTTCCCACAAACCATGAGTGTATAGATAGATTCATCTCTCCAATCATTGTTTTATAGTCTGTCTATAATTACTATTGAAACAATCTCGTTAGCAAAGCTCAAGTTTTTTTTGTAGCTTGTAGATCGACGGTACTTCAGCGTATTAAGGTCAAGGATAAATGGATAATGTTTTAGTTAGAATTTAGGCATGGAGGTCGTATTCGTATATATTTTTTTAATGCGTTTGATAAAGTTAACCATCTGCAAATGGTTCACTAACTGTGGTATATGGGCCGTTTTCGTTTAAACGGTTGAACCGGTCGGACCACAGCTGTTCGTTTATCATCCTAGAGGATAGGAAGAGGTAAGATGAGGATAGGAAGAGGTAAGATGAGGCATGATATATAATGTTGAATCATGGAGGATGAGGTAAGATAAAGCAAACAAGGAGGATGGGACAAGATGAGGTTTAGGGTAGTGATAAGGTAAGATGAAGTATTATATCAATGTTGAATCAAGGAGGATGAGGTAAGATGAAGCAAGCAAGGATGATGGGGTAAGATAAAGGAGGATGTGGATGAGGTCAGATGAAGCAAGCAAGGAGGATGGGGTAAGATAAAGGAGGATGAGGATGAGATAAGATAAAGGAGGATGAGGTTAGAATAGTCAACCCTGTATGGTATGGACAAGTCAAGGTTAAAGGTCAAAGCAATGATAAAAAGCCAGCGTCTCCGAGAGACTTCAGTTCAAATGGCGCAGAGTCAAATCGACACCATTAAGTGTGGTAACAACATCGATGTCTCTATAGTCTCCGCTAATAGTGTCACCTGTCGCGTCGGATTAACACAGCTAGTGATTTTAAAGAAAGTCAAAGGTGAGGTGAAAGTTTGTTTGCGAGAAGAAAAGAAGAGTTTACAAATAACTGGAGACTTCTTTAAAAAAATGTTGTTTCAATCGGAGAGCCTAAAGTGCGTTTATTCGTTTCTAGAAAATTGAAATGTCATACGAAACCGACAGTGTTCATCGCATTGTAAACAATGATGTAATACAACCACATTACCCATCAATGATCAAGTGTTGCAATCGCATAGATACCTTTGCTAACTGGACAAAACACCATCATCATTCTCCATATCAACTCGCAAGTAGCGGATTTTTCTATACTGGCATTGACGGCTGCGTTACTTGTTTTATGTGCGGTGTTTCGTTACAGCACTGGAACTATTTTGACGATATCACAACGGAGCACGTAAGATGGTCAAAAGATTGTCTGTTTCAACAGATCATGCTCGTCATTTAAATACAGCATTGTAAATTACGGTATCATGGTTTAAGATCATACCAATACGTATATGTATGATAATGGAATTAAACACAGACTTGTTTGTTAAAAGACTACAAAGCTATCAGACTGAAAAAAACGAAGAAAAGGCCTATCGGAAAATTGTAAAAAATCTTCTGTGTCTCTCTTATGCATACATTGTAAGATCAAAAATAACAGAACTATTCGTATGTTTAGGCTGTGAGAATCGTCAACACGAGAACTATGTAAATCAAAGTTATAGCGAAAAGATAAAGAAATACGTTAAGAAGATCGATAATGTCAAAACCTGGCTATTCATTTAATATACAGATGAATCGTATTGACATTTTTCATAACCACATGACAAACCGTACCTGTCGGTTGATGACATTCATACAGTGGCCATGTAAACGCTGTCAATACCAGCTGGTTCGTGATGGATTTTTCTACAAAGTCATGATGATTATATTACATGTTATAAGTGTGGTAAAACTTTGAAATATCGCGAACTTAGAAACTTTTCCGTGGAGTGTAACGATCATTATTCTACTCTATCATACACTTTGTAGACTGATTGAAGGTCTGCAATGAACAATGAACTCGTCAGATTGCATCAGAATGGACAACCTCTTAGAACTGGTATATGCATATCGTGTCGAATAAATAGTAGAGCAACAGTAATGCAGTATAAAGGATGCATTAGACAGTGTGGATGACATCAAAGCGATACGTGACTTTATTCAAGAAACTGTGAGCTCTTACATTCCAAGAACGCAGAGAAATGCCTTTATTATACAGTTATGTAACGCCGAATGGAGACCAGCGTGAAGTTGGTTACTTATTCAATATTGGGCTAGCCCAATATTGGACCGGACCAATGTTGGGCTGGCGCAATATTGGGCTAGTTTGATATTCAAATGTATCTAACATAACAGTTCTTATGCCGCTTTTTCACACCTATGCCACAACTGGGCATCTTCTAAGGTATCCACATGCAAAACGGCATCAACGATACCCCAGGCTAAAGATGCCCACTGGGCATCATTTCGAATTTCAGTACATAATCGTTAATTTTTCGTTTTCAACAGGCCACGGCATATTGTTATAGGTCTTATGCCGCTTTTTCACACCTATACCACAACTGGGCATCTTCTAAGGTATCCACATGCAAAACGGCATCAACGATACCCCAGGCTAAAGATGCCCACTGGGCATCATTTCGAATTTCAGTACATAATCGTTAATTTTTCGTTTTCAACAGGCCACGGCATATTGTTATAGGTCTTATGCCGCTTTTTCACACCTATACCACAACT